TATAGCGCGCGCACATATTTGACTAAGCTGTCGCACAACTGTTTAGTCGCACTTTAATTCCTATGAATTTATACGGAGGTACACTACTCGATTTTAGTTGTGCAATTAAAAAGTTGAATTGGCTACGAAACAATCGACAATCGCACAACTCTTTTCCGATAGTTTAATCAAAGGTGTGCGTCCGCTCTTAGTTTACTTATATTTTTCTTGTTATATCTTTATACTACGTAATTTTATTTCAATCAAGCTACTTTATGATATTTAAAGATTTATTTTAAGATTGTCTTGTAAACAACAACGCAGTGAAATTTTGTTTAAACACAAATTAGTAGAATTCCTTTGGGTCATCAAAGATTTATAACAGAGGAAATTTGCGGCTTATTCGTTGTGTTGAAGGCGCAAATCTACGATGTCATCTTATCCCAAGAGCGTCGTTAAGCACGATTAAGGAAATACCAGAAAGTCTCGTAACAAAATGATAAATGACCTTTGATCAATGAAATGTAGAACATTTTTAAAGGTATGGTGTTTTACAATTGTTTTTATTATCCCTACTACATTAACTACTACAAATCTGTCCCAGTTTACAATATGCTAGCTGTAACCAGCGTCTCCCTTCAATAAAAAAAACCTTAATTAGTAGCCTACGTGTTAGTCGAGATTGTAATCTATCTGTTCCAAATTTCATCCAGATCCGTTCATCCGTTCGAAAGATGTTCCCCCAGTTTTTTTATCGTTTGGATGTGTTTTATATAAAAGTAGCTTTTGCCGGCGACTTCGGCAGCGTGAAATTTAAAAATGAAAATATATGAAAACATATAGTCTATGTTATTTACAGATAAATTGCCTTTCTAACGGTGAAAGAATTTTTAAAATCTACAAAGTAGTTTTTGAGCCTATTCATTACAATCAAACAACAAAGAAGACACTCTTTGTAATATTAGTATAGATGTGTTAATTTCAAATCGAAGGAAATATTTATCTGTATTAATATTATAAAGGCGAGAGATTTGATTATTAATTTGCATTAAATAACCTCGAAAGTTATCGAAACCTATTCTAAAAATAATTCGATGGCCTATAGTCGTTACTAGATTTTTTTAATTTCTCGCGAACGATTTCGTGAGCAAAAACTTGTCAATAACAAAATGGAATCTTTAAAAAATATCATTGCCGTGGAAACTTCATTGCAGCTGCGCTCGCTTTTTCAATTTTATGAAAAGATTAAAACAGTACGACGCTGACTTTCAGACGAGTCAATCTATCTTAAATGTTCACAAACAGCGCTCGCGACGTCCTTTGCCTTTGAAAGGTGAATGTTTGTTCCATGATATAAATATTATCGTTATACTTGTGACAATTTACGTAAGCGTTCTATTTCACTGTTACTTTTAATAAGTGACAACGAGAAATTAGGTAAATGTTATAGTAATCTTAACATATTGAATTTCAGCTATGATATTTGTAATAAAAAATATTGTGACCTCTATTTCATCATATCCTCATATCCTATTATGCTAATATTATAAATGCGAAACTTTAGATGGATGTTTGTTAGAGCCTAAGCGGCTGAACGGATCTGGATGAAATTTGGCATAGATGTAGAGCATAGTCGGAAAAAACACTTAGGCTACTCACTTTTTTTTTTATTTCAATGCGGACGGAGTCACGGGCTAAAGCTAATAGAATGTAAGAAATAGCAATATGAATAATGTAAGTAATAATGCAGTGAAGTTTTGAGGTAATGGAAGAAACTTAAATGTTCAGACTCTAAGAATGAAAATATTTAATACGAGTATCTAGCAAATATATCCAGTTCAGTTTTTCATGTTAATGTTATTTAATGTTATTTTATTTGTAATAATTCCTATTTTGATCCACATTTATATCTACGCACCGCCAACAGATGTAATCGTCAATGAAGATCGGCCGATAACGATATATCATAATTATCAATGAAAGAAATACTTATTTATCTAGACAGATGAAAGAAAATGTACGATATTCTTATGTTTGCTTAGAAAACAGTAATAAACCTATATAGATAATTTCCTTGACAATGTTAACACAAGGGAAAATATGAATGTATATTTACTTTATCGATCTCATTTTAATGAAATACAACAAAATCGAAATTAAAAGTCGTCGAAATAATAGTCGTATAGTCCAAGATGATTCCGAATGCATAAAATGTGCAATAAACTGCGGTACTTACAATCTTGTTATTTTCGTAAGGTCGTCGCAACAGGTTTTTGTCATCTCAGTTTAAGTCGAAGTTCTATCGACTTTCAGTTCGAGATAAATTAAGAATCACTGTAGCGGTCAGGAATATTTTCAATATTCAGATTATTGATTCATCATCTCCCCTGCCTTATCCTACTCCCGTAAGTTCGGCGCACCGGGATTCGTCCTCCAAAGTACTCTATCATCCGTCATCTCAGTCATCACTCCCTTTTTTATCCTGTCACCTTTTACGCAATCCTTTCATCTCTTTCTAGGTCTACCTCTACCGATGTACCCTTCCACACTCATAACTAACGTTCTCCTTGTAACATGCGACTCATCCCTTCTCACAACATGCCCATACAATGCTAATCTTTTACTCCTTACTTCCTCTACTACTGGGGCTACTCTCAAACTTCCTCTAATATACTCATTTCGTATCCTATCCAATCAAACTACAATACAAAAACCCTCTTACCTATTAACTCTGAATATGGTAGCAAGTAGCAAGACTAAATTTAATGTAGCAATAATGACCAGGGCAATAATATTCAATAATAATGGCAACTTCAAAGATCAAATCAAAGACCCTCACAATTTGAGGGATTCGCGCCCACTTTAGCGGTTTGTTAACAATCATTTGCCTACTGTACATTGTTAGACCGTTGATTTCGATTGTTATTGACGTGAGATTTCGCTGAATTCCAATTAGTATTTTAATTATAACTAACTATGACAGTGTGTAAATGTAAGTTGTTATCGCATTACTTCAGTTTCCCGTAAACTTGGTGCATGTAACTGACCCGAAATATCGAGAGTTAAAACAACCCAATCCTGGTAAAAAACCCGTGTCTTACGAATATATATTTGATAGTTTTATTTCATACAACTCTGATATACATCTCTTGTTTAGAGTATACTAGCTTTCGCCCATTTCTCCGTCCGCGTGGAATTAAACAAAATGAAGTAGCCTGTGTGTTCTTTCAAACTATCCTCTACAACTATGCCAAATCACATCGTAATCCGTTCAGTAGTTTAGGCTACATACTAACAAACATTCATCTATCCAACTAAACTTTCGCATTTATGACATTTATAAAATTCAGTTATCGCTGCCTAAAAAACGGTACGAAAATAATGTGATTAATTTCTATTGCGGTTATTTCTGAAGTAGAAATATCATAAATATGATCAGTTAAGTTACTTTAGGGTAACATATTTTTTTTTCTTCATGTTTTAAAATATCTTCATCTTTATTACCCACGACTTCATCCGCATGGAAATAAAAAAAATAAAAACATAGCCTATGTTACTCACTGATAATGTAGCTTTTTAATGTTAAAAGAATTTTTAAAATCGGTCCATTAGTTTTTGAGTTATTTCAATATATACAAAAATACAAATATTTCGTCTTTATAAAATTAGTATAGATATAGAAGTAAAGATTGAAATCTTTTTTAACTTTTTAATAAGTCTTTGTCTTTCTTCAAATAATTGCACTCATGTTGCAGTTAAAACATCCTGGGAATATCTTAAACAACGGTTCGACGTGAAAACTTTATCAAAGGATTTAACACGAGCCCGTACACTTCTGGGATTTCGCAAACTTTGTTACAAAGTGACGTCCGAGTTGCAAATCTGAGCCGATTTAGATAAACGATCACCCATCCAACATTAAAGTAGTGCCGAGAGTAGCAGATTGTATTCCATAATTTGAAATAATAAATCATTAAAAAGTGAAACGGGCAAAAAACTAGGATTATGTAAACTAGCTGTAGTTCGCGGTTTTGTCTACGAAATTAAAAATACAGTACTAAACATAGCGTGTATTCTCATTGATAACGAGTTAGTTACTGGTGAAAGAATTTTTTAAATCGGTCCAGTACTTTTTGAGTTATTTCCTATTGTAATATAAGTATAGACTACACATTTTATTTTGACATTGAATCGAATGTCATATTGATTAACAAAAAAACAAACTTACATAATTTAAGAGATTCTTAAATACTCTACCAAAGTTCAATAATGTCCGTACACCTGAATCAAAACTATTACACAATTGTTTAGTCTCGCTTTGATTCCTACAAGCTTATGTGGAGGTACTCGATTTTTAGTTGTGCAACTAAACAGTTGAATTTGCTTCGAAACAATCGACAATCTAACAACTGTTGTGCGATATTTTAGTTTTGTGTGATCGCTCTTACAATGCTTAACACATAGATAACAAACATTAAAATAATATAAAGTTAACGGAAATACAAACACATCATGGAAAAAACGCTTCAGTTCACAAATAACCATATGCTTCTAATGCTTTGACAGTAAGCAAGTCTAATTAAGATATATACGTCGGGTAAATAACAATTTAATGGATTTCAATGCACTATCTGCCGTCAGAAACGTTAATTGGTCACTTAGTGACCTTTAATGTATGGTAGTTTTACGGTGAAAATAATTTACACATAATCGTAAAAATTGATAATTGTTACTTATTAAACACTAGTTTTCGCCCACGACTCTGTCCGCGTGGAATTAAAAAATACAACAGTAAGTAGCCTATGTGTCCTTCCCGACTCTACATATATGCCAAACTTCATCGTGATCCGTTCAGCCGTTTAGGCTACAAACTCTAACAAACATCCATCCATCAAAACTTTCGCATTTATAATATTAGTAAGATTTAAATAGTAAATCTAGATTTCTAGACTAAAAATAAAACCTAAACTCTACTAACATTTAGTTCAAATTTAATGAACATTTAATATAAATTACTTTACCTTACTTCCCAGCACTGAATTTAAAAATTCCCGAACATAACATTTAAATGGTGTTTAAAATGATTCATTTAAAAGTTTATAAACATCACTAAATTACACATTTTGTTGAATAAAATCATTTTTATAAACCGTGATTTTTCTATTAAAAATCACATTTCATCACTACTTATTTCAGACAATGTTTTTTTCGCGTATTACAGTGTTGAAAGTTATATGAAAAAAATGTTTTTATTTAACCGACAACCGTTCAAACCGAAAGCTTGAGCTGTACTGGAGACTATCTTGTATCCCAGTCATCTATTACAAAGCGGTAAAACCGTAGACGATTTCGTTCCGTTGTACATTGAAGCTCGTATTGAATACTTCGTGTAGTATACTGATACAAAAGAAGCAATGGATACGAAATTACTTTTCTCAAAGCGTAATATGTCATGATTTTTTTCTTTATTAATTAGATTGTAACTTAAGTTTTTTTTTTTTAAATAACGAAGTTGTATTGTGAAGAATAGTAGAATTTAACATAGGAGATATTTCTTATTTCTATTTAAATCTATTATTTAAACGCTATGCACTTCAACAATGAAAACGCGACATATGCTGCTGGGATATTTGAGGTGTTAAGGTAAATTGTGTTACATAGAATCTGGGTGCGCGCAGTGCATCCGCCGAGGCGAGCATGCGAGCGTTTAGTATTCCATTAAGTCCTCGTTTGCACGTGCGTTGTTATAACGCGACTTAAAAACCATTGAAATAAATCAATAATTGCATTTCCATGTGTATCTGATTAAACGGCGCTGATTTTTATCGCACAGTATAACGTTTTGAGCGATAAGCGAATGAAGGAAAGTTATAGAATGTTCGTAAAAGCGTTAAAAAACCGCAAACGCCCAGCGATAAAAAAGCGCTCGTTAGAATGATGTGGAAATTTGTAGAATATTCTATATTGAAATGTAAATGACAATTACTTTTATAGAACATACGTTTTTTTTTTCAAATTTAAAGAAACATTATTTGTAGTTATTTTGATACGAATAGTATATTTCTAGTTGTCTATTTACGTAAGCAAAATATTTGACTAAATTAGAGTTATTTTATGAGTCAAATGAGTATACATTTATTCGTAGACAAACAATTATTATTGTTGTGAGACATACATTCTTTATCCTCAGGGAAATCAGTAGCTTCATATAGTTTGTCTAACAGAATATAGTTTTCCACAAACCACGGAAATCATCAAATACAAACTATTCTATATTTTTACTAAAGTTTTATTAAGATATGAGATACTCTATTCTGACTCTGTCTCCTCTAACGGTATCGACCTTCATTTGTTTTAAAAAAAGCCACGAAATTATTTCTTGGAATTCAAAGCAATTTTGTGAAATAAATTGAATAAATGAACCATTTTTTAATACAAACCTTTGCCTGCGACTTTGATTGCAAAAACAAAAGTATGTAGTCTATGTGTTTTTCCAGATTAATCTCTACATCTATTCCGATATACACCGACAAATAGGAATCCGACTAAACTTTCGTATTTATAATATTAGTATGACTACCTTTTGCCCGTGACTCCGTCCGTGCAGAATTTAAAAAGAAAACAGAAAAAGAGCAACCTATGTATTCTTCTAGACTATGTTCTATATCTATGACAAATTTCATCGAGATCCGTTCAGCTGTTTATCCTACAAACTCTAACAAACATCCATCCATCCATCTATATTTTTACATTTATAAAATTTCTAAGATAAGAAAGAGAATAAGATGGAGATTGAACATTTTACTGAAATATTCGTAACATCCGAATATCGTAAATCAAGTCTGCAGTGCAGTGGCCGGGAAGTATTGGTGAGCAGGAATTTCGACAATGTTACTACGACTCCGATCCGTCGAATTGAGATTACAATATACCGTTTTGTACATCTTGCAACACCTTTACTAAACACAAGCATATAGTGTGATTGTTTCAAATATTCCTTGTTAGTGATTCATATCGTTAACCTCAAATTCCACTGACGAATACTTGTAATAAAACATGTCTCTATTTTTTAAAGAAACAAACGAATTAATTATTGACTACATTAATTTTGAACAACTTAAGCACAAGCAAGCACAAGCTAAGTAACTTAAAAATACTAGTGTTTTTCAAAAAAAATGTTTTCCATCTCTGGTACAAGAATGTGCAGAAAAAGATTAAAGTAAAGACTCCATTGAATGGATAAGTAGCGACGGTTTACAAGTACTCTATTCTATTGAAGAAATAAGTGTTCAGTATTTTAGTAAGTTAAATTCACTGACAGTGCAGTGCAGTTCAGATTTTATTTATTTATTTATTTATGTAGAACAGAACATCTCTGAAATTTCCGTAATCTCCGAAAGGGTATTGTAAGGGTAACGATATGGACGGGGCTTTTACTGGAAGGTGGCAAATGTGTGATGAAGTAACTTGATTATTTATTAGTACTGCCCTGACATTGTCGCGGTGACAAGTTAAAAAAAAAGATAAACCACACATTTCCTGCCATGTCCCAATTGCCATACATTTCCTATACTAATATAATAAAGCGTAAACACACACTCTACATTTGTGCCAAATTTCATCGAGATCCGTTCAGCAGTGTAGACAAACTCTAACAAACTACCATCTATTCCATCAAAGCATTTGCATTTATAATAAAAGAAGTAAGATACATTACATGTACTGAATCTATACTTCTACACTAATATAATAAAGTGTAAACACACACTTCCTTGTTGCCTAAGATGTCAGCAATTACAGCATATTTTTGAATCATTCTTTTTTTAATAAAAAGTCCTACACTTACGCCACGCTTTAGGCTATATATTTTCACGCTATTAAACTTAGGGGGAAAACATTTTAAATAAAAACCCTAATGTGGGAAAGAGACCATAAGTTGCTGCCAACATCAAGGAAGCAAGGTTGCCATGGTTTGTCACCGTCATATCATTTTGACATTTGCAATTGATAATTTGACACATGTAAACAATAAAGTTTTTATATTTTGAAGTCGCACGGGAACAGCCAGTGTTCAATATTTTTAAAGCAGGAAATGTTTAAAAGCCAATGACATTTCTATTAAATTAAGTTAGGATAGAAGAATGACCTTGTTTTAATATCGCTAAGCTATCGAAAGACGTTTAACGTATATTTAACCAGTGTCCCTTCACAAAGTAACTTAAATCACTAAAGATAGTCACAATATAACAAGAATTCACGGTCCACCTCGGAACAAGGGGTCAAAAGGTGTCTTACCCTGCTTTGCATAAATAGACGGGTCGCCCAATTCCCTCGATTTAGCGTGCCAATAACGATAGAAAGGTTTCTTGTGATCGAAATAAACAAATTTACATTAACTTAAGTAAACCAGCAAATGTATAAACTAAGGTTGTCTTAAAAATAAATATAGTTTATTAGACAAATATAAAATAAAAATCTCCAAATTTTGTTCCTAATTTATAGAATTCGACCGTCATAACCAAGGCAATGCTGTTTTTTTCTGCATTTTTAACCAGGGTTCTGTACAGCAAAAGCTTTTATATTTGATGTTCTAAACAAAATGCGGATATTACCTGTTGGTATAACATTGTTATGTTAACTAAAAGGAAATCTTTTTATACTGTACATTAGTAAAAAATTGACATGTAAAAAGTTTACACTGGACATTTAGTTTCTGTAAATGGAAGTTCAAAGAAAATCACACAGTAGTAATAGATAAAAAAAATATTCATAACTATAACTGAATAATTATTATAACACTGAGAAAACGTTGAAATTCCAATAATAAATATTTCGTTTAGTCACACCTAAATGACAGTTGTGTAAAACTGTATCGAGCAAGCTGTTACGAAGCGTCACACGTTACAAGCGGAACACATGTCCCTTGTGGGAATCCAACTCGGCTCAAAACGTCTCAACAGCTGTCTAGTGCTACCGTATCCGATGGGATGGATCTAATAACATTTCGTGACGTAAAACAACTCGTATAAGTAAGAAATGCAATCTACATTTATATTGATATTCCGAGGAAACCTATACATAAAATGATTATAAAAATATACTATGGACAATAAAATTTGCTATTTTTTTCAACAAAAATACACTCATATCTTTGAATTAAATATGTGTAGATTGCATCACGCTTATATATGGAATTCGAATTGAAAATCACATTGGTACATGGATAGGAATCTACAACATGCAGATCACAAGTCAAGTGCTTAACCCCTTAATCACCGACGCTCTTTTTAAATCGCTATTAAGGAATTAAAAAAAGAGAACTGATCTAAATCAACTGTCCTTTAATTACACATTCCCATTTAATTGAGACATCTAACGTCGACATATTGGCGCGAAACTATTAGTAATTTTTGAACTATTAAAGCTACAATGAAATATAATAATAATTTTGAGTACTGGCTTTGAAATTGTTTTGAATAGATATTGTCATTTGTCAGTGGACGGTCGGGCGATGCGCTTCGGTTGTACGCAAAAAGTCAATTGGTGTATCTTGTGCAGTTTTCATTAAAGATTGAAGGACTGTTTTTATATTACGCGAATGTTATTTCATTAAGTTGCTTGTTACACCGACATACATGTAAACCCTAACTGATGTATCGAAGAGCATTTTTTTGTAATCTGTAAAAGCGAGGAAGCGCATCCCGCTCATTTAAAATTCTATAAAGCAATTTCCATAGTGAATCATTGGTGATGTAATTTGTTTCCAATTTAAATACAATTAACTTGCTGATAGCTGTATTGTTTGGTACAGAATGTTAATTATAAAACCGTATCACATTAATGGAAAAGGAGTATTTTATCTGCTGTAAACATTTTAATATGTGTTCAAACTCTGTAATTATTAAGCGTTTGGCCGGACCAGACCGTAATTTAGACGTCTAGATTCAATCTACCATGTACTAATGTGTTTTTCGATTTTCAAATGCTATATGTACAGTCGGGGAAACTGACGGTGTTACCTTTGAAGCTGAACATTATTAAACGAGACACGGACCAAA